TTGCATGAGAGAGGAGGGGACCCGGCGCGTGAACCTTATCCCCCTGGGTGAACGCCCCCCTCTTCTCAATGCCAGCGTCCATCACCAAGATGGCAACCGGAAGATATCACCAAGATGGCTGCGCATGTGCGTGATGACATCATGCACATGTGCAATGACGTAACGGCAGGGTGTCACCTGGTACCAGCTCCAGTGACACTTTTTTTTTGCAATGCTTCCTCTTTTTCATCCCTATGGGCAATACCGCGTCGCAGCCGTATAGGCGATTCTCCAGCAGTAAACTTGATTAGAGACCACTTACCTGTGGCGTCCTTCCCCACACCGGGATAGGACGTCACATGGTCGCTGGCGTCACTGGGATAGGACGCCACACCCGGGATCACATGGTCGCCGCTCCCTATGTTCTGCGGCGCTTTGACCAGCAAGGTAATGAGGCTCATTAGGGAAGTTTTAATGAGAAGGTATGGAAGGTTTCTGGAGGGTTTGTTCATATCACCCAACCGTGCTGAACCGCGGCCACTGATAAGAACTTTATTGAATTGTCACAAGTGACATTTCATCCAGTCCTATTCACCACAGCGTCTTTGCGTTGCATTGGTTTGCATTGCAATAGGCGGTGCTGAAAAAAAGAACTAGAAGTACAGGACTTTTTTTTCCCAGTGCACATCACCGCAACTCCGTGGTATGAATTGACCACACTGAACACAAGGCTTTTTGACTTGGCCTTGCGTTGGTTCTGCGCTGGGCAAGGCTGCCAACTCAGCCCCCCAGTGCATCTGGTGTGAACGGGCCCTTAAAGATGGATTTTATTGCAATGTCACAGGAGTGCCGATCAATTCTTGCTTGTGGTCATACAAAGTAATGGAACATACTTGGATCATTGACTCTTAATGACCGGCCGGGGGATCTGTATGTCTCGTTCTGTTTGACGTTGGCTCTTATGGATCCATTCATGAAGCCAAGCTGTATGCTTTACAAATATGCATTGTGACTCAGAGGGTAAGAGATCTGACTGAGGGTCTGAGATACCCGGGCTCAGTTCTGGTTGGTGAAGGCTTTGTGATTGTGAAATTGGAAAGCGAGAGCTGTGAGTGAGTGAGCGAGCAGCAACTGTATGGTCTCCTAATAGAAGGTCAGAGTCGGAATCCCTGCTTGTTGGTTTCTGCCAAGTACTTGGAGACGGAACACGTCAGTGTTTGAGAGGACAGTCATCTCAATGCTAAATATATTATTATATTACTTTAGATTTGTTTTGTTAATGTACAAATTCCGCTGAATCCTGAAATAGAAGAACGAGCACTTCAATGGTTGAGCTGAGGCGGTGGCTCAGAGGATAGGAGCTTTGACTGGTGTGCTGGAGACCTGGGTTCGAATCCGTCTTAGGGAAAGCCTTGTGTGTCCTGGGTGCTGTGCAGTACCTGAGCCCCCCTAGTGGTGGGGCAGAGCAGTGGGAAATGTCTCAAACCCATTACTCTGTCCCACCACTAGGGGGTTCATGTACTGCACAGCACCTGGGAGGTGACTCGGATATATATATATATCTATATCTATATCTGGGGTGAGCCAAAAAAACCCTAAGTCCCTAAATTTTGAATGGGCCGCCCCGGTAAGACAGCCCCTTGTATTTATATATGTTGCAGTGATGTCACAGACTATGGACCGAAGAGGGGGTAGTCCACACTCTATTGTGATGCCACACATGTTACAGGCCTGTGGGGGCCTGGGACTGGAGCAGACTAGTGGGTTGTCCATGGCCTCCAAGCTTTCACTCAGCTATTTGAGCTCGAGTCTACTGTGCTTCCATGTACTCACCCTCGGGGTCTACAGCGCTCTTGTGGTATCACACTCGGGGGTCTACAGCACTTTCATGGATTTGCACTCAAGGTTTGCAGCGCTCTCATTGGTTGGCCCTTGGTGGTCTACAACACTTGTGTGGATTTGAACTTGGGTCTACGGCGCCCTGGGTCAACGCTCTTATCCACTGAGCTACTCGCCTCTGCTCAGCAACTCATGTGTTCATTCTCCTAGTTCAGGAGTGATAAGTCGGCACAAATTCAGAAAGCAAAACCGAGATTCGAACCTGCGACTCCAAAATCTCTGCTGGGCCCTAGGCGAGCATCTAAACCTCTGGGCCAGCCCTTTGTCTAGCAGGCCCGTCATTCAAGACTTAGGAAGTGAAATGACTCATAAGCCCACTCAAAAAGTGGGACTTAGAATATTTTTGGGACGTTATATAAGCTCTGTGGTTTAGCAGTCAGTCCTTTGAACATCAAGCCTTATAAATGACTTGATTTATAATCAATGAATGATGTGCGCGTCCTCCTTTATCACTTAATTGGTGTTATTACTTATAGATTAGTACCAGGTGATCCAATATCCCTCCCGGCATCGTGATCGGTAACCAGATGCCTTATTCAGGTGGGAAATATTGGGACTTATTGGGACTTATTCTTCTTATTTAGGGTTTGGCTCCGGAGGTTTAAGCAGCCGGCTTTATGAACATGGAGACGTAGTGATCACTGACTCCTCATAGCAGCAGATAAACTACAATGAAGGTGTGCGCGTGGGACGGAGACGGTGATGAAGGTGTGCGCGTGGGACGGAGACGGTGATGAAGGTGTGCGCGTGGGACGGAGGCGGTGATGAAGGTGTGCGCGTGGGACGGAGTCGGTGATGAAGGTGTGCGCATGGGACGGAGTCGGTGATGAAGGTGTGCGCATGGGACGGAGACGGTGATGAAGATGTGCGCGTGGGACGGAGGCGGTGATGAAGGTGTGCGCGTGGGACGGAGTCGGTGATGAAGGTGTGCGCGTGGGACGGAGACGGTGATGAAGGTGTGCGCGTGGGACGGAGTCGGTGATGAAGGTGTGCGCGTGGGACGGAGACGGTGATGAAGGTGTGCGCGTGGGACGGAGTCGCTGATGAAGGTGTGCGCGTGGGACGGAGATGGTGATGAAGGTGTGCGCGTGGGACGGAGACGGTGATAAAGGTGTGCGCGTGGGACGGAGACGGTGATAAAGGTGTGCGCGTGGGACGGAGTCGGTGATGAAGGTGTGCGCGTGGGACGGAGATGGTGATGAAGGTGTGCGCGTGGGACGGAGTCGCAGGCTTTGCTGTATTAGATTTTGCAGAGTTGATGAAGTGCAAAAACGTCACTTGTGTACTTTAGTCATTTTAAAATGAGCACCTAAGTGTTTGGGCTTTTTTAGGGGACAATCTTGGGGCATTGGACCTGCCATTGCAGCTGTCAAGTATCAGACACAATGGGGTGTGTATGATGTGTAGGTCATGTGAGGCGGGAACCACTTGTGGCCATGAATGTTGGTTCGGTCCGTGGCGTCTTCTGAAGTGTTCTGGACCGTTCTCTGTTTTGTCTTACGCGTGGCCATCTGTTGCCGCACAATGTTAATTCCGCTGTATTTTCACCACCAGGGAGCCACAGGCGCTCAATACAGCTTACCGGTGACATCAATGGCTGTAGGTGTGTATACGCCGGGATTGTATAAAAAGACATTTGTATGGGAGCAAAACCCCCAACAGAGTTGTGTGAATGTATGCCAGTCCTGTATGTACCCACATACAGCCATAGACTTCTATAGGAGGCGGTACGGAGCACCTATGGCCCCCTGGGGGTGGTAATACACAGGAATTGATGGACGTTGTACAAGCACAGGCAGCCGTGTGCAAGAGACCAAACAGTGTTAACAAACCATCTGCTCAGTGCGAATGTCAACACGTGTTCCTCTATTGACCTATGGCAAGCTGAAGTGTATTGATGTCATTTTTTTTGTTCATGATGAAGTAAAGAAATCTTTTTGTTTGTAATGCTGTCTCCATCCCCGCTGGTGAGATCTGCCCTCTCCACGGGTCCTGGTCACCATTGTCAGCTTGACAGGAAGTGATCATAAATCGTTCACACCTAGGCGTATTGCATATGCGCGTCTGTCGCGCGTTTTTTTACCGCGATTCACGGTAAAAAAGTTGCGCGTTTCCGAAGGCTACTTGGCTGTATCCCAATGGAAACGCGCAACAAAACGGCCCAAAGTAGTACCTGTACCTTTTCAGGCGTGGGCTGGTTTGTAGCGCGTTAGGGACGGGCGAAAATACGCCAAGGTGGGAACCAGACCATTGAATACAATTGGATTTATATTTTTGAGCGTTTTGTAGAGCGTTCGTCGAGCGTAGAACGCGCTACAAAACTTTCAGTTGTGAACGAGGGCTAAATCAGAACCTGGCCGACAGTAAATCAGAACCAGGCCGGGTTCAACATTAGATAGACCTTAAATAATACAGAGCCAATTGGCGTAGGTGGATTCTATATGGGGCTGCGCTGCCATACTGCTGGGGGGGGTCTTAAGGAAGGTGTAAGAGGGCCACATGTTACTGCCAGGCAGTGGTTATAGGGTGTGGGGACCACATGTGACCTCCAGGAAGAGGTGTGGGGGGCCACATGTGACTACCAGGAAGAGGTGTGGGGGCCACATGTGACACCAGGAAGGGGTGAGAGGGCCATATGTGACACCAGGAAGGGGTGTGGGGAGCCACATGTGTGCTGGAACGTGTCACCCTTACACACCTGAGCCAGAGGGTAGCTAAGATGCGCTATGCACAAAGCCGCAGTGCGTCACAGTAAACACATCTACTCCTCAGGACGTCATTTTTTGGGGGGTATTTTGACCAAAACCCACCTCATAGGTAAGCAGACGACGATGAACCCTAAAACACAGGCGACGTCCATTTCACGTATAATAAGATTTATTTTGATATATTATGATAGACTGAAATAAACATTACTATGTA